ACAAAGGGAGGTTAAAGAGCACAGGAGTGCAGCTTGCAAAACCCCCAAACATGGGGTTTCATGGCAGGAGGATGGAGGGAAAGGCTGGGGCAGCCCTGGAGGTTTGAACATGGCAGAAATGCAGGATGCCTCRGTGAGCAGCTTTGTGGAATGCTAAAGCAGGAGTGTCACATTGTGAAGGACAGCAGAGTTCGGTAATAACCAGATGTTAACTCAAAATGAGGAACTTTTAATAACCCTAGAGGGGATTTCCACTTCAAGCAAGGTAGTTCATTCAACATYTGCCCTGAAAGAGATGTAAGAAGGTCTGAAATGAGCCTCGGGAACATTGTTCCCTTCAGCCCTCAGAAAGCCTGCCTAATGTTCCGAAAAACCACCCTAATCCTGTCAGCAGAAATTCCTGAGACAGTAAGCCAGCTCTTCCCACTACAGCAGCAGCAGAAGGAACGCTGCAGTGCACAAAGTAATTGTGGTTTGACCTAAACTTCTGTTCCTTTACATCTTAGGCATTTTTTGTTAAATATTTCCAAACTGCAACTGCCCTTGGAGGACAGTGATGGTTTTAGCAGCACAGCACAGATTGGGGAGCAGGTCTCAGTCCATGTTAGCTGATGTAGCTCCACCAGCCAGAGGTCAGKCCTGTYGATTTGGATGCCAATATATTGATTWAAGCTGCCTGTTKTGCTCAGTCTCTGTGTAATTAATGCAGAGGATAAATTCATGTCCCTTCTGAGCACTGCCCATGAGTCTGAGCCACTGCCTGAGTCTGTCAGAGAGGGGGTGACTGTGCCCAGAGGTGCCAAGCAGACACACATCAGCTGACATAAACATTCAGGTTGATTTAATGATGTGTAGAGCAAGTTAGTAACTTCATTTGTTATCAAAAGTGCTGCAGTCCTCTCATATCTCAATATTGGTTTAAAATCTGCAGTGAGATGTCACTGTAACATGATGATTGATCTTCCTAAATTGATAATTATCCTTTCTGAACCTGGGAGAACAAGGGATGCCTCCCAGCACATACTGTCCATACCATTAAGATGTTTGCAGCAATTCTCATCATCAAGGCAACAAAACTGCACTCCCTTCTTCTCCCCCCTGCCCAAGCCATTTATTCTGGCAGCTGGTCACACCCCAGCAGGTCCTGTCTCAGAGAGAAACCCTTGGGAGGAAGGAARAAGCTCAGTGAAGGGATAATCCTAAACAAATCCCCATTGCTTCAATCTTTGAAAGGATGGGAGAAGTGGAATGAGATGAACCTGGGGGTGCTGGGAGGTCCAGCAATGTGCCTGGCTGGAGTCAGCACTGCAGAACTTCATTTGTTTCAGTTTTAGGTGCTTAGCTTTTCACATTCTTCTGAACCCAGCAACCAGAGCATGAAATGCTCACTTCCACATTCAGCACAAAGCCCAGCCTGMACTTTATATCCCTTTTTCTTCCCTCCAGTGTTTCTTGGTACAGACAAGAAGTCAGAGCCAGCAAAGGGGTTAAACCCAAAGGCAGGGCCTACAGGTTCCAAAAAATTTGACAAACTCCTCTTCCCTCTCTTTTCTCCCTCTGCCGAGGATTTTTCTTGTCCTGGGGTGCTCATCCAGCCTTCCTGGAGTCCACAGGTAATGTTCATCTGCCACAGTGATGGGCTCATGCTCTTGGAGGCACAGTCACACCATCTATAAACAATAAAATTCCYAGCTGCTATAATCATGCTGTCAGCAATGAGTAATATGTTCTGCAAAAAAAATGCCTAAAGAGGCTGCTGGTGGATGTTGAAGGTGGCTATAAATTATCTTTCTGAGAACAGTTTCTTGACAGTTGGTCAAAATATCAACCAAACAGCTACAGAAATATTCATTACCGTTTTCTTTGTCTTCTTAAATTATGTTAATCATAACAAAATAGCCATATTGTTAGGAGGTATTGTGAGRGCAGAATTCAAACTCTCCTCTCCAACACAAACTCCCCAGACACCATGGCCCCTATCAGCATTTTGACAAGCTCATATCAAGAAATTATATGCCCCTGACTAAAAATTAGTTATTTAAGAGAGCTACCAAAAAAATGGGATCTCTCTCTTTAAACGTTTAACCCTGAGGCAGAAAGAGGGGGGAGAGGGAGGTGGGAGAGAGAAGGAGCAATAATATGATAATCACTTTAGATAACAACCTGAGTCATGGTAAAAGCAGCCTAATTGCCATCCAAGGGCTTTCAGCAGGAAACAGGCACACCTAGAGAGGCACCTGTGCAGAGCAAGATTAGTTTCAAAGGGAAGAAGGACAGAGATATAAATGCACTTTCATCTGAGTGTAGTGGAAAGTATGAAATAGTTGTTTATGTAGAAACTGCCTGAAATCCAAGAGCTACTTCACATAATGGGATGTGGGTGGTATGTAATTCATGTAAGAAACAGGCACACTCACTACAGGGCTCAAAGTGAAATGGGTGTTTATATTTAGGCAGAGAAAAGAAAAAAAAAAAAAACATATGTGGGGAAGGAGCAGAGAAATGGTTGATACTGTCTTTCCAGAATAAATCATGTTCTGCAATGGTTATGACCTTTTTATAAAAAATAAAATAAAATAAAATAAAATAAAATAAAATAAAATAAAATTAAATTAAATTAAATTAAATTAAATTAAATTAAATAATAAAATAAAAAATAAAGTAAAATAAAATAAAATAAAATAAAATAAAATAAAATAAAATAAAATAAAATAAAATAAATAAAATTAGTAATGTCAGTCTGCCAATACGAAATAAAACCTTTCTTTGAAAGTCAGCGTGACTGAAGGTGGGGAAGATTTCCCCACGGGTTCAGACAGAGCTCTTGGCCCCTGCTCTCCTACAGCACCTCCCCTTTCCTGTGTGGGTTCTGAGAAAGGGGACGTGGTGACCAGGTGCTGCCCACGSGTCTGGGGGGGAAATGAACATTGGGATTTCTGAGTAAGAGACCRTAAAATGCTCTTTTGTTTGCGCAGGACGAGTTCTGTGAAGTGGAGTAAGAATCGATTGTGTTCTCTGATGAAGGAGTCAGATCTTTCAGYGAGGGTATTGATTTACGCATTCAACTCTGCGAGTTGCTTTCCATTACATCTTTTGCTACTAAAATTCAGTGATGTGAATGTCAATAGGCATGAACAAAAGCCCCATGTTTTTGAAAAGCCTGAGTCTGTATCCACAGGATATAAAAACTGTTACATTTCCTTGCCTTTGCTCTCCTCTGCAAGCCATTTTCCAGATTGTTGGTAATGGATTTTTCATGCAGATGGTATGTGGGTGCCTATGCATTACTACGATTGTTTTTTCCCCCTAAAAATAGTGCTTTTTTTTTTGTATTTGTAAATAGCATTTGATGACAGTCTAGAAATATTGCATGCCAGAAATTATCTATCTTGAATTTCTGCATGATAGTRTTTGGGTAGGCTGTCATGGCAACAGAGGTAAACTCTCTGGATTCAAGCATCAAAGATTCTCATGGCAACTTTTTTTTTTGTATATCTGCATAGGCAGGAAAATATGCTGAGCCATACCTTGAATAATCTCAGAAAAGACAGCAACAACAGAAAAAAAAACTGACATGTCTATCACCTTACATTTGTTTTTGAAATCTACATTAAAACCTGCCTTATATAAAAAGAAGAGAGAA